ATGCAACGGAATACTGGACATCGTTGAGTTGATATAGGGGGTGTCTTCGAAAATATGACTGGCTCAGTAAGTGCTCACAAAATTGAGTATTAAGATTTGACCCCGGCCCGATTCGAACGGACAACCTTCTGATCTGGAGTCAGATGCGCTACCGTTGCGCCACAGGGCCTGATGCTGATGAAAGATATGACGTTCTTCTATGCCTAACGCTCGAAATATGGAACATTAACACTTCTAATTTCTCCCATGGAGGTGCGCGGACAAAATAGTTAATGTACTCCATGGATCATTTGTTCCGAGCAATCCGAGCATGACTTCCACCAACTCCTGACAATCCAGCCCGACAATATGTCAGTTTGCCAAGATAATGCATACACCACAATTTCTAACTAGCCATGAACGAGTGAGTTCCATCACAAAGGAGTCCGCTTGTCAACGAGGCCACAAAGAAGATCGAAGAAAGCAATGAACTCGACGAATGTGCATACACTGCTAGGCTGTATGCTAACCGTTATAATGGTAGCACGGTACTACTAGTACCGTTACGGCACCGTTCATCACTGCGCAACTGTCCTTGAACAACTGAGCACAATGGAAAAATGGAGCTCATACAGTAAAAAACTTTACTATATTTATGTTACACTCGGACACATCAAATTCCAAGTCACCAGGTCATAAGGTTCTTCAGGTCAATGACCTGAGGTCATTGTCAGCGCGAGCATGGAGAAGATCGAATCTTCCTCGCGCTGGCAACAAGGCTATGGTAGTCCATTCCGATCCAATCAGTATCTTCGCTCTAGTCGCTACGAAGTAACGCTCTACTTTGTTCACTCCCGTTTTTCCCTATCCTACCTCTCTAGATCTAGGGTGGCACGAATTATTTCCTTCCAATTATTTCCTTCCATTTCCTTCGGAAAGATGAAGGAAATTTAGAAAATTCTTTCGGACAGGAAAAATAGGAAAAATAGGAAAAATAAGGAAAAATAAGGAAAAATAGAGAAAAATTTTTCAAAATTGCCATGAATGGGCATAAAAAAGCCAAAAAAGAAGGGGTCTCACAACAGATAATGTCGGGGTATGTGCCTGTGTTAATAGCCTCGATTAGACTGAGTATAGGGAAGCATTGTTCGCCAGGATGATCAACGATTTTTGCGGCGAGCGAGAATTCGATTCGCACTTTCACTGGAAGGCCCAGGTTGCGGTTTCAGTTATTGCGTGGTACTTCGCACCATGATCATTTTATTCGAGCGGGATACGCTGCGCTCCC